CTTGTCTCATCAGACCCAAATCTAGCTCCTTTGCCCACCCCACCCCCCCGCCGTTTCCAGGGAACAAGTTGGGACTGACCCAGCTCCCGAATATCCAGGGACGGAGTTCTAGATCTGCTGCGGCCACCATGTCCCCAGGGAACACCTTTATAGGAAAACATTATAAACCGGAAACTACCGTGACTGATTTCTCTGGCTATGCAAACAAAGTCTCACCTAAACTGTTTGAACAATATAGGAATGCATGAGAAAAATGTCCAAACCAGCCGATAGCCGCCCCCGCCTCCAGAGGTAAGCGCGGGGCACCTACGGTCCTTTCTCCAAGTCTCCCAGGTGTAAATATTTTGTTTCCTGTTGGTAGAATGACTACTTGCTATTTGGGAACTTTGTCCAGGCACTAACGTATCATGGAACCTTCTGGACACTGAACGCACCTCCGCACCCTGAGCAGAGCTGCTCGGCAACGTCACACGGGCGTCTTTGTTTAATCCCCAATGATGCGTATTTAGGCTGTTGCCAAGTTTTGACTGTTTTACAAATCTCTTTAGCATATGTGCAGATTTCCCACGTGTCCGATCATTTCGGTGGGGGTGTTTCCTAGAAAGAGAGCTGCTGAGTCAGAGAAGGTGACTATTTTAAGGACTTTTGATGCATTCTGCTCATGGGTTCCCAGCGGGGTTGAGGGTCCGTGTGGAGGGAGGTGCCGAGCTCCCCACTGATGGCAACGCTGGGTTTTATTCACCCCAGAGACGGGGGCAGAGAAGTCAGTGAGCAGGTCCCACTTGTAGGAGCAGTGGCTTTTTTGGTGCTCGGTACAGGCTACTGTCCTCTTTGGGAAGAAGAGGTGGCCAGAGGGGAAGGAGGAGGTGGCATCATGGGCGGTGGCTCTGTTAGACATTCCAGGTTGGTTTTATCACGGAAAATCCCGCATCCCAGGAAGCCCCCTCCACCTGAGCAGACCCGGATAGTTGATCACCTACGTCCACCTTCTGGGGCTGGCCTCCTGAGCCCCAGAAGTACTGCTGGGACACTCTGTCCCTGTCCCTGGGAGAGCAGGTCCCGCTGGTGCCTCCTAACTGGCTTCTGGGAAGGCGGGTGCTGAGAAGTGGCCAGGCCAACTGCCCGGGCAGGCTTGGCCCCCGGCTAGCGGAGGCTGGCAGCGCAGACTGGGCCCAGGTCCTCTGAATCAGGAGCCCGGGGCGCTGTGCCTGTTCCCACGCAGCAGGTGCCTTGCAGCAGTCCGGCTGGTAAAGGTACTAACGCCAGAAGCTCACGGGCTGTCCCCTCTTCCCATCCCCCCGCGACACACAGAGGAGGGGACCCAGGCGCAGAGAAGGGAAGTGACTCGGCAAAAGTCATTAGCTCTGAGTGGCCAGAGGGGCCACTGGAATCCAGGTGTCCTTACTCCAAACGGGTCCCTTCTTTAGCCCTGGCCCCACGCGCATGGTGCACTGCATTGAGAAAATGCCACTCTGCTGTCTGCCACTCTAGAGTGTTCGCGTTTTCTAGAATTTTATATAAATAGCATCACATAATACGTACTCTCATTCTGCCCAGATTCTTTTGGTCTGTACAATCATTTTGAGGTTCATATATATTGTCACATGGATCAAAAGTTGCTCCCTTTTATTGCTGAATAATATTCCTCCGTGTGGATGTATATGGTTGGTTTCTAACCATTCACCTATCGATGGATGTTTGGGTAGTTTCAAGGTTTGGGCCACTACAAATAAAACTGCTGTGAACGTTTGTGCACAGGTTTTTGTATGAACATACACTTTTATTTCTCTTAGGTAAATGCCTAGGGGTGAGGTGACTGAGTTGTATGGGAGGTAAATGTTTAGCTTTTGAAGAAACGGTTGTTTAACGTTCCCACCAGCCGAGCGTGAGAGCTCCAGTCCCTCCACACCCTTGCCAACGCTTGGCATTGCGACTCTGAAATTGTAGACATCCTACGAGGTACAGCACGATATCGTCTCGTGGTTTCAATTTGCATTTTCCTAACCACAAACGACATCGAGCATCATTTCGTGGGCTTGTTCGCCAGCCCTCTATCTTCTCTGTTCAAACCTTTCGTTCGTTTTTATTGGGTTGTTTACCTTTTTATTACTGCCTTTGTGTGGTTTGGATACAAGTATATTTGTATATTCTGGATGCAAGTCTTTCCTCAGATATACGATTTGCAAATATTTTCTCCCAGTTTGTGACTTGACTTTTTATTCTCTCAATCGTGTATTTCAAAGAACAGAGATTCTTACTTTTGATGAAATCTAATTTATCCATTTTGGGGGTGGGGTTGTATCTTAAAAATCTTGGCCTAATCCAAGGTCGCAAAGATTTTTCTCCTTTGTTTTCTTCTAGAAATTTTGCTTCTAGATTTGTGATCCATTTCGAGTTCATTGTTACATATGGCATAACGTGTCAATCAAAGTTCTTTTTTTCCACATATGAATATTTAGTGGTTTCAGAGGTATTAGTTGAAAACACTATCTTTTTTTTTTACTAATTGGCCTTTATGCTTTTGGCAAAAAACAATGACCCATATGTGTATGGGTCTATTTCTACACTCTGTACCATTCTATTGATCTCTTTGTCTATCGCTGGGCCAAGAATGTAACGTCATCTTGGATGCTTTCAAGAGTCTGTCTTTGTGGCAGCAGCCTCCAAGATGGCCTGTAGTTCCTACAGGGAGCGGCTGGGGCCTCCTCCCCATAAGCA